GAATGAAACACGCTCATCAAATCGCACAAGGGTATGCCGAAGATGCTGCAAAAACAAGACAAGTAAGGCAACGAAGACAAAACAAACCACCTAAATATCAGCTGGGAGTATTCTTAAAGGAAGTAGTAGTTCCACAAGGAGTAAAAAGGAAGTTAGCTCCACGTTGGTCAGGCCCATATCGAATTATCGAAGTTTTAAGCCCAGTTAATTATGAAATCGAGAATATAAAAACGAAAAAGAAAGTAAAGGTACATGCTGATAGAATTAAACCTGCCACAGCCCCTATGGAATTTGAAATTAAGTCTCAACAAATGATAAAACAAGCGTTGACTGGAGTGGGGTGTGCATTCAAAATAGTTTCCTTATGTCATTTTAAAATTGTCCTTAAGATGTACTAAGTTTTCTTGGTTCCTTCTAAACATCTGGCACCCATTTGGAATACATTAGTTGTAAGTCTTTCTGAAGCACATCTGTTTGATGACATCGTGTACTTGTGGTATCCTCATTGGTTCTGGACGATCACGTGTTGGCTTCATCTAGTCACAGGATAGCTAAAAGTTCATAGTTCACCGTGCACTAGGGTAGAAAAGTATGTTTTTCTCCCTTAAAAGTTTTGTGAAAGTATCGCAGAATCAATCATCTTTAGAAATTTTATGCATGTGTACAAGCTTGGAATTTGGATATTCACAAAAGTGAGGTTGAAAAACGTCGAAACATCTTTAGGGTTTAGAATGTAGTTTATCATCACTCAGGTAAGTATGTTAGACAAAATTTATTTCGTTTTAAAAGTCTCTCTCTCTTTTTTATTATTAAGTTAAGTATTCTATCTCTTATATTTAAATTATTCTATATAGGACTTCATTAATATTCTATTCGTCTTATATTATCTATAAGAATGGGGTTTTATCTCTTAAAGTGATATCTCCTCTCATTATTAATACTAACTTACAAACTAGAGATATAAGTGAACAGAAAACTGTATGTGGCTTTATAAAAATTTCCTTTATCGCACAGGTAATTTCCTAAATCGAGAAATCAAATTGGATTTAGACCAATGGGATCGCCCTTTCGTATCTCCAAAAGGAATAACTAGCAAAAAAAACGACAAAGAAAATTGTATTTATCAAGACCTTTCTCTGAATAGCAGCATAATCCCATGATAAAGAAAAAATCAGAAACGATGTCCTTTGCCAGGCTATCTCACAGCTGTGGAGGTAGCTCTAATAAAAAAAACGACAAAGAAAATTGTATCTATCAAGACCTTTCTCTCTCCTTGAATCTCTTTTATAAATCTTGTGTGGATAAATTCGGTTATCATTTTTCAATAGTTCAAAGTCATATGTATAGAAGAGAAGGATCGGGAAGGGAGATATGAATTCCTTCTTTGATCCTTTGGTTCCTTTCACTCAAATGTCTTCCTAAATTGGCAAAAACAGCCGTTGATTCTCCTTGTATATTTCAAGATAACTCTCTCACACCAATTGAACAAAAGTTAGGAACGTATTATTTTTCACTGAAGAAAGTCATCAGCAAAAGGTACTCCCCTATCCACCGAAATATATTTAAGTCGAGCCTCAAAATAAGGTATTTGTTTATTATTCCGAATCGCATACATATATTCTGTTTATCGAAGAGGTCGAGATTAAGCACGAAGGAGGAATTAGTGCTGACCTTGTAACGTCATCGTTCCTGCTTATCTGTTGTCTTGATTCATGAGGAAAGTGTTCCAAAAGGCATAGGCTTAGTACCAGGTAGTAAATAAGGTTAGGCTCCCCAAATAATTGTGTCGAAAAAGACATACACAAATATATATATATATATAATTTTCTCCAAATAAGGTTAGGTCTAGGTCTTTACATGAAAATGCCTTGAAGCTCCTTGTGTGACATCAAGTCGTGGGTGCTTGTTTCTTCTTCTTCTTCTTCTTCTTTAAGAAAAACCCATAAACTCTCAAAAACAGATGCGTAAACCGAATAGAAGAGCTATGTGGAGAGATCGATAGGACGAGAAACTTATATCCTAGATCTCTTAAGTGAGTAGTCTCCTTTCTACGCTGGACTTTTATTCGGGTATCTTAGGATCAGTCATTTCTTTCTTTAGAAAGAGGAAAGAAAAATGCAATCTGGTGGTCGGAGTCAACAAAGAATATGTCACAGGATGTATTTGAACTTAAGATGGAGGAGCAATCTGGATTTTAACTTCGATGCTATAAGTATTTCTCTCTTCCTCATATACCTGGGTGGCAAGGTACAAAAGTCTCTATCTCCAATGAAGATAAAGATGATACACAATAGGTAGGACGTAGCTCAAATGATTATCTGATAATGGATCCAGATTCAACGTGGAGGGAAATTTGGATTTCAACTTTGGTGGGCAATAGGTTCACTTCTCTCACACCATGGGTGATCCAGACTGATTAAGGATTGGGACCCTTCATCACTTGAATTGTCCGTTCAGAGATAAATAAAAGAATAAAATTTTTCTAAGAGAGGCAAGTATTAAAAGAAACTAGCTAGAAGAAAATGAAGCATATAGTATTGTTATTATTTACCTACTTGTTAGGAAGACCCTTCTTGTCAACCGAATTACTCTTCTCACTGATTGAAGATTGGGACCCTTCATCAGATGAGTTAACCGTTCAGACATTAATCAAGGAATAAGATTTTTCGAAGAAAGTCAAAACTAAGAAACTAGTTACAAGAAAGGGAAGCATGATCTTCTCCCGAACTCCGGATGTGAGATCCAGCCTGGGATACAGATCTTGGTCTTTGCCGCTTACGGGGACCATTCATCAGTTCAGTCATTAATCCAGGTCTTATAGAATCAATTTTCTTTTTGAGAAAGATTTACTAGAAATTAAAAGGAACGGAATACAGAAATAACTTGAAGATAAGGGAGTACGACTTGATTATTATTATTATTATTTTCCAATTTGAACTGTGGTGATGAACATTTTTTTTCATCATTACCGAAATCATTCTCCTTCTTGAAGATTAGGCCCTTCAATAGTGGAGTAAGAACCTGTCAGAGGTCAAGTAAAATATCGAAATTATACTTCCTCGTTCACGTCACTCCCCGTATTTGACCCAGAATCATCATGCTGCTATAATTGATATTTCTTTTTCTGATATTAGTGATAAGGATCGCATAATAAGCTCATGTCACATAAAAATATTTGTCTGATGGACTAAAATTACCTCTCTGTTTGAAGATTGGGCCCTTCAACCGGTTTAAAAAAAAAGAAAGGACGTATAAAACACGACTGTTTATTAGAGTCCAACTCCGTCTCTTCTGCAAAATTGTTGCGGTAGACCTATTGACCTCGATTTGGCCACTGTCATCATTTGTGATTTGGTCCATCCGGCGAGCTTTGTTAACTCTTCTGGAGAATCGAAATTTTTTTTTCTTCCTTCCTACAAGAATAGGTGACGTCTCATCGAATATCTGTGATTTCAAGCTAAGTAATAAAATGAAATATGATTTTTCTCCTCGGTGAAACGATACCTCTTCTTAACGGACTACCTGGAACCTAAGATTTGTCCCCTCCTTTGTGTTTCTTCACATGCGAGTAGAAATTAATCTGGTCATAGAGCTATATATATATATATATATAGATGTGTGTGTATTTATAAGTGTCACCATTATTAATAGATGTAGATCTTTTGGTGCCAAAGGTCTTGAAAGAGCATGTTTCCTTCGTCGTGGGACACGGAGTGAAATTTACGTTCTCATCTTAAGAAAATATAGCAATTAAGAAATTTTGAGAGACTTTGATGTTAGCATAGAGTTGCGTTTTGCGACAGTAATTTCATCCTTCTGAACTTCTGGTGTGAGAGTAGCCTGGAGTATGAATCCTTGTCTACGCCGCCTACGGACTCCCGAACGTAATTTGAACCTGAACCTGAGGATTATCGTTGCATATCATTTCTTGCCTGAATGAAGTCGACTGACCAATAAACAATATTTTCCAGAGCCATGTTTTCCTTGATACTCAAGGTTTCTACTTGAACAAAGTGTTATAATGATATCAGGAGATAAATCTAGGCCAATTCTCCTCCTAGACCACCTGGTGTTGTTGGAAGTTCTTGAATTTGAGAGAAGAAAAGAAGGGACCTCTTCACTCTTTCATCTCTTCTTGTAAGACGTTTAACCTTTCCGATTAAGAAGAAAATACTTGGGGCAAATGTGATTGTACCTTTTGATTGATCTATCCCATGAGAAAACTACAGTCATATGGTTCACGTAACATAACTCTTTGGCATATGTTTGAATATTTTCATGCTCTGAATACAGTCCCTTATGTGCTCTGCATCCATTAAAAATTTGGGTGACTTTTTAGATCTCCCGAGAATATCGGCAATAGAGGATCAAGACCAAGTTCAAGGCCATTTGATCAACGTACTCATCTCCATCCAGATCTGAACCAGCCATTTCTCCTGGAGTCTTCCTTTTGGATTGAGATAAGCGTGATCCGGAAATTATTTTCTAATGAAGAGTAAAGAGACGTCAAGCTCTAAACTTTCTCTGGAATTCTTAAATGGGAGTGGCTATCTGTACCACTTATGGAGGATGGAATACGTTCTCTTCATCAGATGATATGGAATACGCGTTAATTTCTCACCAAAATGAAATAATATTTTATGACAATATTTAACATTATTAAATAATTATTAATTTTAGACCCAGGGCTATTCAGATCTCACATGGGGCAAGATTTTCATACCCAAAGCACCTATTGCGTATCCGAATTTTGCGTTTTAAATGCAAATATAACCGGAAAACAAAATAATATAACTCTGCAGGTCGATATTTTTGCTTTAATTAAGAATGCTACCCCTATTGTTGAATGCCGATGCTTTTCTGCAGCATGGAAACTGCGGATTTCATGAAACACTCTGTGTATTTCTATTGTTTCGATTATTAAAATATAAATTTGTAACAGTCGTGTTACATTGATTAACTTAACATACAATATTAACAATTTAATTTTTATTTTATAGATGAAAGCCGGTGTTTTTTTGAAATTCTTGTGTTGCGCTATCGAATTCGCTTTTATTAACACTTTAGGATCTTATTTATTCTATTTCGACACTTTTCCTTCGTGGGCAAACGAAACTCGATCTTCCATTTATACCTCGATGTCAACGCTAACGAATTCCACGTCCAGTTTATCTTAATTCGCTTGTATATTAGAGAGATTTTTAATAAATATCTTATTTAAGATATTTTGTTTCTGATAAAGTTATTTTCGTGATTATAAAAATGTACTTATAAATATTTTATTCTCATTTAAACAATTACAAACATGAAAAAATTAAATATAAAAGTGCTAAAGGATTTAAATCACCGAAGGAATGAATTAGTTTGTTGCTGTACTAATTAACATGCAAAATCAAAGTCAAGAACTCCTAGTGATTGAGAAAAATAAAACCAAATGCATTTCGCCCTGATTATAACAGTATTACTTCAGTGAATATAACATCACAATCTATCGAGAATGTCAAAATGTGTCAAATATTTTTTATATAAAAATTCTATATATTTTAAAGATGTAAAACATATACTGGTGGATTACTAATGAAATGCAATGAATTACAACTGAAATTTTTAGCAGCGATGGCTGATTGGATAAAACCATTAAACACTCGTAGATTCCTGCCTGACCAAAGGGCTGACCATGTAGTTTTCCGATGTTCTTCGTGTTTGTAGCACCTAAATATAGTCACTTTTCCATAGAAATCATTCCGGGAGACATCCCGGATGTAACCAATAATCCAAACCAATCGTGTTAGCAATGTGTCAAAACATAAAATATTTCTTCCTGCGAATAGATTATTGATTCGACCATGTGGTTTATATTGTTAAGAAAATTTTCTTACTTGATATAACGTATCTTTTAGCAACGTATCTTTTAGTAATTCTGAATGGTTTTCCCAGACACTTTACCCCATAAAGTGTCTGGGAAAACCATTCAGTTATATACTAACATAATGTTTAAAAAGAATTATTCCTCTGAATTTAATAAAACATGCAAACTAAATTTAAAACAATCGCACCCTGTGATCAAAAAGTATCGGAAATGGTTCAATAAAAACGCAAGATTTTAATTTATTCATCAAAATTTATTTCGTCCATTTCAAAGTAATCCCCTCCCAATGTTTTTTTTTTTTTTTCCCAATCTTCGAGACATACTCTAAAGTCGTTTTCGTGAAACCCCTTCTGAACTGGCAGCGAATTTTGTTTTACATTAATAACCAAACGACAATTTTAGTCGTAGAAACAAGTCGGGAAAAAGTTACACGATGTCGTATCGGATGAATACGGAGCTTGCGGAACTGTATTTGTTGAATTTTTGGCCAAAAATTCAAGAACAAAGAGCATTATGAGCAGTGCGTTATCCTGGTACAAAATCTACGGGTTTTCTCGCCACAAACTTGGGTGGTTTTCTACGAATTGCTTCACGCAAACGACTCAAAACGCTCAAATAACATTCTTTGTTGAGAGTTTGGACATTCTGAAGGAATTCGTGATGCACAACACCTCCGCAATCGAAGAAAACAGTCGACACGACCCTGTTTTTTGACTCGCTTTGACGTGGTCTTTTCGGTCTCGCTTTACCTATCCGGAGCCATTCAGTCGATTGTTGAGCCGTTTCGGTTTCAAGAGCATAGATCCATGTTTCTTCACCCGTAAAGATCCGTTTTAAGAACGATTCGTCTCAAGAAAGCATTTTCTCGGTGACTTGAATAGGTTATCGTCACGCAAAGAATTTTTAGCAAAACATTTAAATTTTCATTTTTATATGGGATCCATTTAAAGGTATGCAATATTGTTCAATTTTTTTCTTTTTTTGTTATTTAACTTATACAATGTTGCATATTTACAGTACTAATGGACTAAGACAATGGGCGTCCGCAGAGGGGAAAAAGGAGCATCTGCCCTCTCCTGGAATAAAGCAAAATATTCTACAAATTATACTCGTAAAAATGATTATGTGTAACCTTACACTCTGCACCACGGAACGCTTTGTCTGTCTTTTTGTATTGATACAATACTGTATTGTTTATTAATGTTTTTACATTACAAAGCAATAGACATATATTCACTCGTAAGTTACTTTATCTGCAAATCATCTTTCTTAATAATAACATTAATATGATACTTCATAAATTATTACTTTTCTTCATTTTTCCTTATTATCAAACATTTACTTAATGCAAAATCATTTTCGAATGCTACTTGGAGACGACGAAATTCGAAGTTCTCGTGCAAAGGATTTTAATTAAGGATTTTCTTCTACACTTATCTTTCAATGAGTTTTATCCGATTATAAAAATTAACTTCGAATTCTTTTACTTATTTGAATTTACCATGTATATATATATATTTTTTACATGCTTTATGTTTTGAATAAAACTGAGTTTGTTAGTCGATTTGAGTGTAGAAGTGCACTTTGAAAGGACTTGAACTTATTCACGTAACAACACTCGTTCGGAAAGCTCCTTGTTAATACCGGTAGTATGGGTAAGATCCTGAACGTTTATTGTAGCATTTGAATTTATTACAAATCGCTATACGTGACCTATTATTGAACACTTCGTATGTATCACCGACTGCCCATACTTTAACCAAATAAGGGGAAACCAAATATCCATACAACACCACTCGGCTATTAAACTGAACTAAGTATTGTCATGCTCATTTTTCGAAAAATCCTAAAATGATTAGAATGTGTCATTTGTCCCACTTTCCCCACACGTTGGAGCTATGGCAATAATTTCTCATGTCTTGCAACTAGGGATTGCAATTCAGCAGTGTTTTCAATCCAGCTGGATTTTTGCTAGACCAACATCATTCCAGCTGGATCCAGCGCAAATGTATTTTTGGTGCAATAAAGTGTTATCTATCTATCTATTATGGTTTTTTTAAGAAATAAAACATTTTTTTTTTAAATACTTAAGAAACTTTTATTATTTAGACTGGTCACTATAAATCAGTAAAACTTCTTTTCTAAAAGTAGGATCTCAAGAAGTCAGAAGTAAAAACTTATCTTTGATTTATGATTATTTGATGACCCTGAAACCAATTACCGTAAAGGCAGAAAGGGTCTTCTCCTCAGAGGGATATATATATATATGCATTTCATTAAGAAGTAGGTTGGGAGACAACACCATCAATACTATTTATTTCTTGAGATCCTACTTTTAGAAAAGTCAAAAAAATAACAGAAGTGATTGATTTAATTTTATTTAATCCTAGATCGTTCCGTCTTGTGATTCATTGACGTCACAACCGACTGTAAATTAGAATTGTGCACTAGAACTGGGAGAGGAGTTAGTTATTTTATTTAGCGCGAAGACACTTTATTTAGCGAGAGCGGAAAGTCAATTGGCAAATAGATCAGCAGAGGTAAAAGGGCTGGCGGTGCGGTTTAGGGAGGGGGATAAAGCACGTACCGTACTGAACGGCAACGTCACTCTCGTCACCGAGCGATAGCGCACGTAGCAAAGCGGCAACGCCGACAACATAGACTTTTGCGCCATTATTTAGAAAGTTAATTGAGTATTTGCGGATCCGCAGCGCTGGATCCATCAGGCCGAAGAATGTGCTGGATCCAGCTAGATTGCTGAATGAGGGATCCAGCAATTGCATTCCCTACTTGCAACATTAATGACCAGTACATCTTCGATGATATTTGCTATAAAATTGTTGTTTAGTAATTTCCGAGAATTTGGTCCATTTTTATCGCTGCTTATTTTTATATCCGGTACCCCAGAGTAAAAGACTACTACCATAACCATTAGGATATCCGGCCGTTTATTTCATTATTACAGTAAATTACATTATAACAATAGAAATTTATTTCTTTTTCCACGTATTTCTTAGTATGAAATAGTATCAGATGTTTTTTACAATTTTGTTACACACTGATTATTTCTATTGCGTAATTTTTGTACGAGAGGCTCCATTATCCATAGAATTGCAAAAAGTAAGAAAAGAGATGCTAAGAAATAAAACAAATAATCGTATCTTCCCAAATTTTCTCTGAAGTACACTGCAACAAAAAATATTAAAAAAAAATATGAAATTTTTATCTTTGATGTTATATTCAAAATAATTAAAATCTTTAATACGAGAGAAATAATGAAGTTTGTAGCTCATCCGTCGTAAAAGTCCTCGGCATCCTAGGTACATTAATTAATTAAAAATCCTAGAAATTCTTGTTTAATATCCGTCTATCCCATTGTGGGTCTGGCAGAACCCATAAGCTTCTTGAATAGGCAGTTTTAAAATGTCAAATTTCTATATGTGGCTAGCATTTACACAGTCCAGTCACATTAATGTGACCAACTCTTACTGTCGACATTAATGTGAAATAATTAATCACAGGTGGCAGGTAGCAACACAGTACAGTGGAGGGTATATAAAGGGTATCTGAGATAAGCGAAATACAACATTGCAATTGTTGGCGTAATGGATGTACGACGCGATTTATCTGACGTCCAAAAGGGTATGATCATTGGCTTCCGGGCCAAGGGTGGAAGCATTTCCGAAACGGCTAATTCTGTAAACTGTTCGCGTGCCGCCGTGGTAAAAGTATACCGTGCATGGCAAAATGGCACTATCCAAAATCAGTGACGTGGCAAATGTGGTGCACCACAGGCCATAGACGACAGAGGTGAACGACGACTGTGGAGATGTGTTCGGGCAAATAGACGTGCAACCGTTGACCAACTGCGGTCAGTTGGTCAATGGTTGCACGTCTATTTGCCCGAATGAACCAAGGAGCTACCAAAAGCGTCTCCTTAACGACAGTTCAGCAAACGTTGCTGCTTATGGGCTGCTTATGCTTATTAGTTACGTATGCTTTAACCAGCAGATGCCTGGTTAAAGCACCTATGCTGACTCCTGTCCATCGGTGACGAAGGCTGGAATTTGCACTCCAGTATGGCAACTGGATGTCCACTGAGTGACAACAGGTGGCTTTTTCTGATGAATCACGTTTTATGCTCCATCGGACAGATGGACGTTGGCGTATACGGCGTGAGGCGTCTGAAAGCAAACACCCTGCAACGATTGTCGCAAGGGTCCAAGCTGGAGGAGGGAGCATTATGGTCTGGGGAATGTTTTCGTGGCATTCTCCAGGTGCACTCGTCATTGTGGAAGGCACGATGGATCAACAGAAGTACACATCTGTCCTTGCAGACCATGTTCATCCCTACATGTGGATTGTTTTTCCTCAGAACGATGTCATCTATCAGCAGGACAATGCAACATATCATACAGCTCGCAGTGTACGTGCATGGTTCGAAGAGTACGAGAATGAATTTACCGTACTCCCCTGGCCACAAATTCCTCGGACTTAAACCCAATCGAGGATCTGTGGGACCACCTCAATCGGGTTGTTCGCGCCATGGATCTTCAACCATGCAACCTAGCGCAGCTGGCCACGGTACTCGAGTCGGCATGGGCTCAACATCCCTGCGAGTACCTTCCAGAACCTCATTGACTCTTTTCCCACACGTCTGGCAGCGGTCCGTGCTGCAAAAGGTGGTTATTCTGGCTTTTGATAGGTGGTCACATTAATGTGACTGGACTGTGTATATATAGTCAGTACCACGCTAGACAAACTTTTACTAGTTACTAAATAATAGGATTAAATTAAGTAATTAATCACAATACAAAACTCACCTGTTATTGGCGTATCAAGAAGTAAAAGTGATAATCCTGCTAAGAAACACTCTAACCCAACAGCCACAGGTAACTTTTTAACTCCTAAATTTTCAGACATTAGAATTGTCTGTTGAGTAGCAATGCAGCCAGAAAAAATTCCGATGATAAACGTAATAGTCAGCATTAGTGCATAATTCCATGTCAGAGAAAGTATGCACAGTAGAACGGCCAATGAAAAGTAACATATGATGACAATGTTCACTCTTTTAATAAATCCAAAATCTACAATCCAACTCAAACCCAAACGTCCAAACAGATCCGAAATAGCAAAAGACGATACTAGAAATACTGAAGACTGTATATTTATTCCTTTGTCTATTCCAAAATCTGTAATAACATTTCCGAAAATACTAATAAACAAACGTAGCATTATAAAAGTAAACGCTATCACCAAAAACATGGGATCTTTGATAACTTCTATATTAGTTTGTAGTGTTTTCCACGAGGTTTCTCCTTCATCCTCAGACTTCTGAGCGTTTTCTGTGTTTCTTGGTTGGCGATACAGACAAGCTGCGACTGTTCCCTGCAGTAAAATGCCTCCAAAAAGTAAGAAAGATCCTTTCAAACCGTAAATAGATATTAAATATTCCATCAAAGGTGGAAGAGCAAAAGCGCCAGCTGATGCACCGGATCTGAATATTCCCATTGCTGTGGTTTTGTACATTTTAAAATTACTGTCCACGATAATGGAACTTAAAATGAAAATAATAGCATTACCGAAACCTAAAGAAATTATTATTTCCATTTTAAATACGATGTTTGATCGTAACCGATTTAAAACTATATATGACTTACCATTAATTATACCCAAAAATATAACGAGAGATATAAAATGAGATGAGAAATAGCAAAGAATACATCCCAATGAACTAAGAAGACTTCCAAAAATAACTAATTTTCTAATGGTCAGGTATTGCATGATAAACGGAAAGATGGGTCCTGAAAATATAGAAAATTATCGATATTTTATGATATATTTATTAAAACTTAAATTTATTGTTAAAAAAATGAAGAGTCACGGTAGTGGCTCTCCGCCAAATAAAAAAGTCACTGACTGACTTTTTTATTTGGCGTCACGTACAGGAATCATAGTTGCCGATTTTCGGGGGTCGATTTCTTCGCCCCCAAACAACTGAAGTAATTCCGAATATTTTATTCGAAAGGAAATTATTTTCTTAGGTAGTGTGCAAAATTTCAAGATTTTCTATAAAGTGGTTGCCGAAATATAGGCCTAAGCAATAGAAAAGTGTAAAAATCGCCAAAAAAAGTTGTATTTTCTTCTTCTTTTCTTTATTCAGCACTGTAGATGCTCCTAGAGAAAAAAAAAGTCTAGAAAGCTCAATATTTAAACTGAAGCCTTTTTCGTTATCAGTGAGGTGCGGGTTAAACTTCCGGGTCACTAGGTCAAAGTTCACGGAGGTATATAGAACTACTGTATATAGTCCACGAACTGAACTAATGATAATTCTTATCTACAGTTAAGTTTACTTTCGGTCGATGTTTTTAACAAGACTTTTCATATAACATTTGTAAATTTTATCCACATCTATACATAACTTTATCCTGTAGCTGTAAACTGTATGCATATATTTCTGTAGAAAAATCTTCATTCGCGCAAGTTTTTACTCGCGACTTCCAGATACAAACACTGGCGTAAATTACAAGTCCGCTGCAATTTGAAAAAATATTTATGAAGTATAATCTAAATAAAAATTACCTGACAAATTCATTATTGCTGACATTATGCTGAGTGGCAATGCCGAATGCGTTCTATCCAGTCCCAGATTAAGCATAAAGTAAACGTATAAAACACCCTTCGTTCTAACAAATCCGACAGAAGTGATGCTAGTAACAAAGGTCGCCGCGGCAACGATCCAAGCCCATCCTTTGTCTCTCTCGTCTATTATCTTGTCTTCCATAACACAATATTAAGCCGATATATTCTGTATTAACCGCTTCCTCGAAGTTGTTTATTAATGTTTATTCCAAAGTTTTGTTGTTAGATGACCCTAATAGATGAGTTTTACGTAAGCGCAACATTTATAGGGTTGGTTGGACGATGATTTGGAATATATTTACATATTTTAAGTTAATAACATAGTGATGAAATGGCATAAATTATAGATTAAGTATTTATCTAATAAAAAAGCACACACCTACTCTTTATTTGCTCTTCTAAACGAACATTCCAAATACACCAATGCAAACAGAATCTTATGGACATAGAAGATTACAATATCATTTATCCATGTATTGCAGGTACCGCCAGTAGCCGAATGGATAAAACCACCACTCACCGAGCATTAGTTGCGTGTTTGCCCCTCTCCAAAGGTAGTTTTCTAGTTTTTTTTTCACGTTTGTAAAGATAGGTTTATATTGACATACAAACTGCCAGTCTGTTGAAAATACCTCAACTTCTGGGGTTGCCGTATACTTTTCAAATCAAACTGATCGAAGATTACACTGATCGTTCAAATCGCGTATACAAACGAACTACAGCGATCTGTTCAATCTCTATCCGCGTATACAAACACCATCTAGGATCAACTGGATTGCGATCGAACTAATCCGAACGTAGAATCGGATAAGATCAATTGTTTAATAACGACATGTAAAATTTCCTCCATGTCATAAAAATACATGGTATTTCTATGACATGGAGGAATGTGAACTAAATCTTTTCGACAACCACGTTCTATCTTAGTTTGTGTTTCATAATACAATGCAAACAACAATTAAGTGTTCGTTTTGTTCATTCGCAGCGGTTCTTATGCAAAAGCAAGCATTAGTTTTAAATTATGCCGCTGCGGCAAACATCGCTAATTTCCGGAAATTAGTTTTTAATTTTTCAAAATTTTTCATAATGTATGTGACGTACAACACGCCAAATTTCTCCGCTTTTCGTTTATGAATCCCGCCTGATTAATCCTTCTTTCATTAAGTTTCAAAGTGGGTAAACAAAATCGTGCCTCCTCCATACACACACACACACACACACACACACACACACACTAATATCCATAAGTGTGGAAACAAATAAGCTTAGCAAAAAATGAATAGAGTTTATCTTATAGGAAAAACAGAGGATCGGTTTAGTAAACTCTTAGGTATTAAGTAAAGTGTCTTTCACGCTTACTCGAGGACCAACCATTGCACTTTGACCTATATAATTCGATGCATAAATTAATTACATATTACATTATATAAAGCTTAATAATTATCATCGTACTATTTTTCACGTGTTAGTAATATTGCACATATATCTGTAATAGAACGAACCGGTTTTGTTGTATTTAGTAGGTACGCAGCGATAGCGGCTGACTTGTATTGTTTTAAGAATAGTTAGACACAAGAGAAGAGACAAAATGTTCGACTCCGTCCGTTTTTTATTAAAAACTATTCCGTGGAGAATGCTGGTGTTGATAACTCCTTTTATTTTCCTTCCTCTTCCTCTCCTCGCTGGAACTAAAGTGAGTTGAACGAACTTTTTAAATAGTTCAATAATTGCGGAAATTACTGAAATATAACTATTATTTTTACTTTCCTGGCTGTTACATACAACAGAAAGAAAGTATGGCGATGGGTCAAAAAATGACCATTCCTAAGATTTTTACATTTTTGGAATAGGAGACATTGAAACGTCGGAAAATACAAAAATAATTGGGAGTGTTTTATTTATGTATGTGAAGGGCCCGATTCTGTTCATCTACTTTAAAGCTTAATAATTCCTGTGTATTTTTTCAAAAATTTCTGAATTTTTGCAAGGAGATTTATATATTAGGGGAATCGATGCTGTTAAATTTTGGTAGTTAAAGGTCAATCGGGTGGGAAGATAGAGGGGGTCGTGTGTACATGTCTCTAGTATGGTCAGACTTAATGACGATTTTACTGATTATTAGCATTTACAATTTTTTTTTTTTATAATAAAATCCATCTTTACCCAGAAAATAAAGCTTTTTGTCATTTTATAATAATAAATAATATAAAAACTTTTAAATAAAATATCGTAACACGTAGCTTCATCACAATTTTAAATTTTCTTGCCGGGAAAGTTATGCAACTGGTTACTGGATAATTTTTTGGGAATTTATAATATAAAATTCTCAGTAATTTATGTATACAATAATTGCATTTTATTATTTAATATGTTATTTTATCTCGTACGAGAACATATACCAATTTCATTACATAGAATTTATATAATGAAACGTGGACCGTCCTCGCCATTAAGGGCAAGAGAGATGCAAGTTAGCCTATTTATTAATTTACTCACCTGGATTTTTTTTAGTTTGCAAGTTGTTATGCAATCCAATGTTCTAAATGATAAGAAATTTAACAACTAAAAAGTTGCATTTACTATTTTTACTCGTAAAATTAGAAAAAAAAAACTAATAACGGAAGTAGAGATTTAAATTGTATGCGATTAACTACAATAAAAAAATAATTGATAGGATATTTAGACGTATTTTCCTGCGCATTTATTTTATATTTGACCTTTAAAACTGGAAAAACTTTCGTAGAATTCGTATAGAGAAGGATTTCTCAAAGTGTGATTCGCGATCCCATACCGGTCCGTCAGAAGAAAAAAACCTCCGTTCATAGAAAACTCGTAGGAAAATTTGTAATAAAAATGAATTCCAAACATTAAAAATTACATTATTATGTAAATTAAATCACTTTTTAATTATTATTATTCAGCAATCTCGAGCTTCACTTGAACACTTCACTTAGGAGGGATGAAGTAAATGAATACGAATCGCTGCTAGTTAGAATACATTGTGAAATACTATAATAGAAATAGCTTATTCTTTTTCTGGATAAATTTCCTGGTAGAAAAGAAACTTTCCCTTACAAAACAACGTCTTGTATTAAATTTACAACTACAGAACAATTACAATTTGCGTTATAATTTACTAAATAAGTCAACAAACTTTTAAAACAATCGATTCTATTTTTAGATTCGACCGAGTTGTGTTTAACGTAAGCGATGTCGCATCACGACCCCAATTTTGATTTACCAGGAATTTCTAATGTTTTAGTAAAATATGAAGTTTTTAAATAGTGTTGCCGGGAAAGTTACGCAACTCTTCGTTAAATTATTTATTTATTTATTTATTAAACCAATTGTTTTCAGAAATTTCATTTTTGCTACATTCGTGTCAGTCGAGCAATAATGGAAATTCGTTTTATTAAAAATAGATTATAATTCATTGTGGGTTGATGATTTTACAATTAAAATATACAGTTTCTGTATTAATTTGATTAAATAAAACCTGATAGACACACTACATCATACGAAATGTTGTTTATGAAAAAAGAAACAATCATATGATCACTTAAAATGCTTGTGCTCCTTCCTTCTTCATCTTCTCCCTTCATTTGTTTTCCTGGAAACTGTTGATGCATTCGTACAGGAGTTAAATCTTAATCCATAATAAGACATAGAAACCCATCTCTTCAGTCTTGGCCTGCCGTCATTAGCTAGATTACGAGTCACATTGTTATCTCCACACTACTATATTGTTTAATTATATTTTTCATGTTCCACTTTACGTTTGAATTACAAGCACTGTATAATGATTCTACTATTTCCTTTCTTGGCTATTGTCGTTGTCGACTCCTTAAATATGTCTTTCAAGCTCTTTTAATTGAGCTCCATTGGTATATGTGAAAGACTGGCAGAGTATATATAAATATATAAAACTGATAATCGAAAGAATTTTACGTAGATAAACAATCGGGTTTATTGACAGAAGCATTTTATCATAAAATATTAAAAATAAAGTAAGTTATTTTATTGAGTTATTAAATTATTTTAAAAAAGAAATTTGAATTAGATCGCCGCGTAAATTTTTTTTTCCAACCAATCGCCGTTAAGACAGACTAACGACGACCAATCCTCGTCGAGCATTATATAATCCTCGTCGAGCATTATATAACCTATTAAATATTTTTTATGTTATATCTATCTTGAGACGAGTTGTAGTCATACAAATTTTTTTTTATCATTTTCTCGAGCTATCATACTGTTATATTAATAGCATGGAATATTTTAAACTATAATTTTACAGGAAGCGAAATGTGGTTACGTCATCGCTATCATGGCAATGTATTATATGACAGAAGTTCTCCCTCTCACCGTAACGGCTCTCATACCGGTTGTTCTCTTCCCTCTTTTAGGAGTGTTAAGTACACCGGAAACATGTACACCCTACATGAAAGTATAAATTTTATTAATATCTAAATATGCTTTCCATTTTTATAAATAAAAAAATTTGTCGTTAACTAATTATTTAAACAAATTAGGATACAATCATGATGTATCTCGGTGGTCTGACTATCGCATCTGCCGTAGAACATTGCAATTTACATAAGAGGATTGCTCTGAAAGTCCTTCTAACTGTGGGTACTGGAGTCAGATGGTAAGTGTTTGGTGAGTATTGAAGTCTAAATCTTAATAAATATGCAATAATAAATAAATCTTTCAGGCTAATGTTGGGATTCATGATAACGACCATGTTTCTATCCATGTGGATCTCCAATACCGCAACAACCGCTATGATGGTGACTATAGTTGAAGCTGTTATGGTTGAATTGGAAAATTATACGAAAAACGAAAGTTATCATCAAGATAAAGAGGAAAATTCAAGTAATTTTATGTATTCTGTATTATTAACACTAGATAACTCTGTTTAAAGTACTGCACCTGTGTGGAGCGTCACAATAAGTAATTCTAATAGTGGCACCTCTAACTCGACAATTCCTTTCATGCGGCCCTCACTTTATTAATGTAGAGTTACTGCTGTTTTCGTACTTTTTAGTATTACACATAAGTAGTGTTATGGCGCTACTCGGCAATATTTCGCAGAACCACGGTTGTAAACTACTGTATTAAAAGAAATAATACGTAGTATGGAGTACTGAACGTTACGGTATTTTAAGATTCTGTAATGCACGCTTGAATTAAATCTATTCAGTTTTATTATGAATTATTTTGTCCTTTAGTACTACAGATTATCTGGTATATTGAATTATTTGTAAAATATTATATGAAATTTACCATAAAATATAACTTTTGTCATAAATATTCTAGCGATTTGCATTCAGCTTGAGAACAGGAATGAATCTTCAATTACAGTTGCGATTCCTAACACATTAAATCAAAGGTATATTCTTTGGAAATTAAAACAATTTCTAATATATTTTAATTATTTGAAATATGTTTTTTTTTGTTCTCAGCTCGGAAAATTCAATTGATAATAACAAAGAAATGAATTACGAAACGTTGAGCAAAGCGTTATTCTTGAGCGTAGCGTATGCAGCAAATTGTGGAGGAACGGGATCTCTTATCGGTTCCGGACCAAATTTAGTTCTTAAAGGATTCATGGAAGAGTAAGTTCCATTATAAATTATCGACCGTTAACATAATTTAATGTATNTAGGCAATCTGCCAAAGGAGAGCTCTCTAGGGAGGAATTTCTGTGGAAAACTGGACCTTATTAAGGGGTCCACACACGTTGAGGAAATCCTTTGAGGAATAACTGTGCAGGCCTGGCTTTGAGGAAATTCAGAATTTCCTATCGCTCACACACGAGGAGGAAAATCGGCCATGGCATGTGATGACGTGCATCTTGGTTGTTCTACAATGCACCCGCCATGATCGTATGCGTCATTTTATCTTGGATTATTCTACAAATTATGTTCGTTGGATGTTGGTAAATAAATAATTATTAAATATCTAATTTTGTTATTTTCTTATTTAACAATTAGTTTCTTTAATAGCAAGACTACTGATAAAGCCGCGAGAAGTATCATCAAAAACGTGATTCAAAAATCATACGAGGAATTGGGAAGTATTACGTATGTACCGTTAATGAGCCTTACAAATATTATTTTAATTTAAATATTTTAAAAATTATAATGATTTGTTTTTTAGATTTCACGAAATTGCAGTTCTTGGTCTATTTATAATATTAGTATTTTTATGGTTCTTTCGTAAACCGCAGTTCATAACGGGATGGTCTTCTTTCTTTCCCTATGGATCGTAAGTTGATACAATAGACTTTACTGACTATATCATTATTAATCGGTCATTAAATCCGAATATAATTCTATAGAGGAATTAGAAGCGCTACACCAGCCATTGCTATTTGTCTATTTCTGTTCGTAATACCATCAAATCCAACAGATATGACCAGTCCTCCACTCTTGGACTGGAAAACCGCTCAAAAGAAGATACCTTGGGGTATTCTTTTGTTGTTAGGAAGTGGATTTGCAGTGGCCGAAGCATCTAAAGTATTTTGATTTAAATACATAACAAATTCGAATTATATAATTTTAATAATCCACATTATTTTTTAAGAAATCGGGATTATCTTCATGGATTGGAAGCCAGCTCAGCCATCTTAATTTTCTTTCTCCTAAACTGATACTATTTATATTAATGCTTATAGTATCGATTTTAACGGAAGTTGTCAGCAATATGTCCATTACGACGATAATTCTTCCGGTTATCAATGAGATGGTAAGGAAATTTATCTCTATATTAATTTATATTGAAATTCGTCTAGAGTTTGATAATTCAAACATTTTTACCTTTTTTGCAATGATTTTTTGACCAGACTAAACTAGAATTTTGAATTCTTCATGTAATTCAAAAAAACGAAAACGTTTTATTTCCTAGATTTAATTTTTAAATTTTTGTTTTAATTTCTATTCCATCGACTCCCTCTCACCGTAACGGCTCTCATACCGGTTGTTCTCTTCCCTCTTTTAGGAGTGTTAAGTACACCGGAAACATGTACACCCTACATGAAAGTATAAATTTTATTAATATCTAAATATGCTTTCCATTTTTATAAATAAAAAAATTTGTCGTTAACTANAGAATTTTGAATTCTTCATGTAATTCAAAAAAACGAAAACGTTTTATTTCCTAGATTTAATTTTTAAATTTTTGTTTTAATTTCTATTCCATCGAATGAATTTTGCTTTATACTAAGTTAATTTTATAAGTTCACAAAGCTAGTTTACATATATCGATATTGATCTAAATAGAGAAGCATTTGTATGTACAGTACCTGTACTTCTGCGGAGGATCTGAATTCAAATACAATCCACAGTCCTATGATTTTCAGGCATAATTAACTTTTTATTTTAACTGGGCATAATTCTGTATATTTATAGGCAGTGGCATTTTTCATTCATCCTTTATATTTCTTACTACCCGTGACTATCGTGTGTTCTTTTGCCTTCATGTTACCCGTCGGAAATCCCTCCAATGCCATCGTCTTTGATAGCAGCACCATGACCACTTTCGATATGGTAACTATGATTGTCTTATATAAGTATAAATTTTCTTAATTATTTCCGACATGTGGGCACTAAGAAGTTTTTAGCAAGTCCTTTAAAGGTTCGGCCAGGGCCACAATGGCGGATGGGTGTGAGGGACGGGATTTGACTTATCTGGATTGATCACCCCCGAAAAATTTCCGGGTTGTTCGGCCCGACCGGATTCGATCCTGGATTCACTGGAGCGATGGTGGACCTCTTTGCTTAACGCCTTAAGGCATTACCTGCTCGGTTATCCGACCGCCAAATATTAAATATTAATAAAAATTATATGAGCTATCCGTTCTGTATACGTAGCGCTCTGTACCTCAGTACTCGACTGCCTCCATTGTGGACGTGGTCGAACCTACGATATAGGGTAATGATTTTATAATTTAATAAATTTCTTTTATCTTCCAGATGAAAGCCGGATTCTTTCTGAACTTTATCTGTTGTGGTATCGAATACGCCTTTATTAACACATTGGGTTCTTATTTATTTAATTTCGATAAGTTTCCGTCCTGGGCCAATGTCACGAATAATAATCACAATCACGTTTCGTCGATTGCAAATGTGTCAACGAACACAACTGGATACATGTAGGCTAATAATCAATTGCACAATGTAATTAATAAGCAAGTAATGGCCAAATTTTAATCCAGAAGCTGCTTCGGGACTTAGAATAATAGAATAAAAAAAAACACTCGATTCAGATGGTTAGTTTTTTGGTTTAGGGATATGGGATGTGGCAATGTAGCACATAGGCAATCTGCCAAAGGAGAGCTCTCTAGGGAGGAATTTCTGTGGAAAACTGGACCTTATTAAGGGGTCCACACACGTTGAGGAAATCCTTTGAGCAGGCCTGGCTTTGAGGAAATTCAGAATTTCCTATCGCTCACACACGAGGAGGAAAATCGGCCATGGCATGTGATGACGACGTACTGGTTGTTCTTGGAGGTTCACTGGCAACAAATTGGATTAAAACTCGCGGGAAAAACATGTGAGTAGAAATCTATGGCGTAAAGAGTGGCTTAAAAAAAGAGGATCGTATTCCCATGCGAACCTTATCTCAAAATTGAAGTTAGTACCTAAAGATTGGCATAACTATTTGGGAATGGACAAAGAAAAGTATTTAAATCTGTTATCATTGGTTACATCAATCATAAAAAAAAGATACTGTAATGCGAGCAGAAATTTCACCTCTTGAGAGGCTCACGGCGATCTTAAGGTATTTGGCAACAGACAGAAGTTTTGAAGGTTTCAACTTTTCAACAGTAATATTACCTCAAGCCCTTGGCTACATCATACCTGAAATATGTAATGCTATTTACAAAGTCCTTCATAAAGATAAAGCAAAACGCATTGTTGAGAACGCGTGTGGTATTTTCGCATCACGATTTCGAATATTTCAAACGGCAATCAATTTACAACCATATAAAATTGAATCAATTGTAATGGGTACTTGCTTTTTGCACAACTTTTTAATGAAATCAATGCCAAGTTTTTTTTCCTACAGAATGTTTCGATCACAAAAATACTAATGTTGGAACTACTATTTTAGGATATAATACAGAAGATTCAAAATTGGTGCGATTGTCCGAAATAATCCCAGGAAACACAAGTTTTTCGGCAAAAAAGTGAGAAAAGAATTTATGGAATATTTTGTAAATGAAGGCCAAATTCCACGGCAATTGAATTTTGTTTAAACATTATGAACGTTGTTAATAAACTGAAAACTGTATTGCCATTAAAATAATAAAGACATTGTACTTTTAACTCAGCATATAGACCAGTATTTATATGAATAATGGCATATTAATTTATTTAATAATATTTATATTTCAATTTGTTTTTCTTATGGCACAAATATAAGTATTATATTAAAAAACAAATTACTCAATACCCCAATATCAGTGTCATCATCACTGTCTATGTTTGAGCGACTGCTTTGAGGAGTATCTTGATCATCTAAAAACCTAATTTAAAATAAAGACAACTAAAACAATTAATTAATTTTTCGTATTATTTTATTGTTAAAATTTAAGTTTACCTTAATCATCTGAAATACAACTTTGGTTCATATACTTCATCAGTTCTTGATCCTGACTTGACTGATGTTTTGATTTTCTTAATTTCCCTGGATGAGAAAGTTTCCCGAGTTAAAAAAATAGCCGGGATCCCGTTTGAGAAACCCTATACCTGACTCTCGTAACGAACGATATTGCAACACATGCGATCTGGAACCTCTTGTCCATTTCCTGCGACATCCACCATCGCATGATTAAAACCGACATTACCAACATCAGGACAGGCAAACAGAAAGCGAATAACCACACACACACACACACACTAGCACCTACACCAACGTAACACAAACTTTTATCTCCTGGGCAACCCACACGGACTGGACCTACAACGATTTCATCAACAAATACAAAGAACGCACACATGTCCTTAATTAACAATCGCAATCCACGTTAACAAAGTCCCAACCTTCCGTGGTTGGGACTTAAAGAATGCCAACGGAAATTAGAACACAACACTTGCTCAAAAACGCAGCTTTTGAAAGAATCTTTCTTCTTCCGCTAACTGCAAGAACAATTTATGAAAAATCACTCACCTCCTACGCACAAAAACCAATCCATATAATGATCATTTCATCATCAAACAAGATGGGCAGACTATCACAGACCCAAACCATCAAGCCGACATCTTCAACCAATACTTTAACCCACAAACAAAGATACAACCCATACACATTCGCTTCCCCACCAACACAGACTTCCCTACAGATGCTTTCAACAGCCCATTCACCGAACATGAACTCAACTGAGCATTTAAAAAGGAAGGAACACTTGGTTTAGATGGCACCACCATGGAGATTCTCAACGCTTTCAACAACCAGGCCAAATGCCATTTACGTAACATATACAATAACATCTGGAGAACAGGAACCATCCCCAATGAAATGAACAAAACAATCATTATTCCCATACGCAAACCAGGTAAAGAAACGACGAACATCGCCAATTACCATCCGATTACGTTGACATCATCAATTTCTAAAACCTTCGAACGCATGATCATAAAATGTTGGCATAACTTTGCCCACAACAACAATGGTTCAACTATAAACGCTTTGGGGGCCTTCCGAGCAAGGGGACAAGAGATCTCCTCACCCACATGATGATCCAGATTCACACTCTGCGTAACAGCGGTCAATTCCTCAACATACACAAAGCGTTCGACTCTGTCAAATACCTTCACATCCTTCGCAAAGAGCCTTGAGAACCGATTTCGAGTCTGCAAATGATGGTATCTGACTGTTTGTGGGTGACATGACGGATTGCGTATCTTTCCGCAGTGAAAATCGTGGCCTCAGGGTGGAGAGAGTAATGGGCCGTGATGTTGTGTTTTGAGTCTACAAAAGTTGCTGTTACGGTGTTGGTGGTTTTCGACCCGTCAGTAGCAACAATGGTGTTGATATTTTGATGGGCTTCCCATTCCTTAAAGATCTGTTGAATGAATGTGTCAGGGAGATTGGGATTTTAAAAGGCAAGGTCGTCGAGATGGATGTTCTGGTTGGAGGCGTTGATGATGATGAACGACTTTGACGGAAGATAGGATGGTGTTCAAAATTCAAAAACATCAAGGAAAGAATCCTCTCCAATAACAGTCTTGCTAAAAATCATCATCTTAATATCAGCGACTGCCTTCAATCCTTATCGACCTTCTTTAATGAACATACAAATATCTACAACTATTAAATCAATCAAACTGTTTTCTCATCTCTCATAATGTCTGCCAACTGTCGACAGTTTGGTTAATGTCCAGGGTCGTAGACCATCATGGCGGCTCTTCCTGTTTTAGCCTCGAAACCGGACCGATTTGGAGACGACGTGTCATGTGACGACGCGAGCGCCTGCGCGTCACGCCAGAGTCGGCGGCAAATGAGTGCGGACAAAGGTGAGTAAAAAAAAAAATGTTATTTTGTTATTTTGATTAAAGTCCATATACGTACACTCATTGCGGCTGATCGCCGATTCCAGCAAAGACAAGAAAGCAAACAGTGGGGACGCACGTTCTAACCTAACCTAACCTATTCTAATAAATTATCATAATTATTACCGTTTATATTATTAGAATAGGTTAGGTTAGGTTAGAACGTGCGTCCCCACTGTTTGCTTTTGTTTGCTGGAATCAGCGCCGGCGCTGCCGCGGCGCAGCAGCCGCCGCCGTTCGCTCGCGTCGCCGCCACCGTTCGCTCGCGTCGCCGCCACCGTTCGCTCGCGTCGTCACGTGACACGTCTCCAAAGCGGTCCGGTTTCGAGGCTAAAACAGGAAGAGCCGCCATGATGGTCTACGACCCTGGACATTAACCAACAGTTTATTTACCCAGTTATTTTCGACGTTGCTCGTTCACACAGAGTCCTGAACCACCAACGACTCCACACCCCCTTGTGCACTCTTCTTCAATACCTGCACATTTATTACTGATTTTGTCAAACGTTTCTTCTAGACCTTTCAAGTGCTTCAACTTGAATTTTTAAACATCAAGAAGTAACTTTTATCTGTTTTGTAAGCTTTTTTATACATTTACTATGATAATAAAATAAATATATTAAATGCATACGACAAATTCAAAAAATATTCTGACTCGTCTTAAATATAAATTTCACCCTTTCTTGAACTTTTTATGAATAATATCTGTAACAAAGTATAAATTTTCTGTTATTTATTATCTGTGAACGTAAATTTAAAACACTAATCACACTATTAATTAAAATGATCTATTGTCTATGATTCGGTTCAGAGGTGCATGAAGATCATGTATGAAGTTAAAATGTTCAAAAAAAAAATAAATAATCTTAGTAAATTTATTAAGTAAAAGTAAACCATTTTAAAATTATTCCTACAAATTTAAGAAAACATGCAAGCTAAACTTTATACTGTATTTTCACTTTATACTCACTCCATATTACAACAACTAAAATAAAATGATCTATTTCGTCACGAATCGTTCGATACTTCGGTGAGTTGACGTCATTCAGCTGGATTCAGCTCGACCAATCAGCGCGTTGTGCCATCCGAATACTTTTTAGTCGTACTGTACGTGGGCGGAACGCAAGCAATCAAGCCTTAGCGGTTTGTCATGTGAGTCGTTAACCTATCCTCAGGAGATTTGTACTGTTTCCCATTTTTATGATCCAATACCCATCTTAACGTATATAATATTAAGTAAGTATTTTTTTAAAATTATAATTAAGTGACAAATACCTGAAAATTACTTATTTGTTAATGCTGGATTCATGTCAATTAAATCGTTATGAAAAAAAACTATAGTTTTCTTACCATTACGGATTTTCTTCTTAATTTCTGTTTTAACAGACACACATTTGATAGAAATTTCCAAAAACACATAGATTTATTTAGTGCCGACCCATATAAAAAGCGATACAAACAAAAACCGATGGGACTACTTACCGACTCTGCATCGTTCGGGTCGCTATTGCTTAAACACGTTTTCGTCGTGGAGCAGCACGACGGAGGCGTAGGAAACGTGTCACGTGACCTACCTTTGTCACTCGGTCACGTGACTACATCTGGCGTTTCCGGACGTATGCTGTAATACAAGAACGATGTCTTATTACTAAAACGTGATTATCTCTTGTGACTCTGAACAGCCCGCGGTCCACAGGTTGATAAGTTACGTTTTCGTAACAAATTTAACGTTTATCAAACTGTGGTCCTCGGACTCTTCGCAGTCCGAAAAGTTCTCCGGAAATACGTCAGAGATGTTACGTGACCGATTGACGTCGAAGATACAACACGTGACACATTTTGTACGTCTCCGCCGTGCTGCTCCACGACGAAAACGTGTTTAAGCAATGGCGACCCAAAATATGCAGAGTCGGTAAGTAGCCCCATCGGTTTTTGTTCATATCGTTTTTTATATAGGTCGGCATTAAATAATTCTATGTGTTTTGGAAATTTCTACCGAATGTGTATCTGTTAAAACAAAAATAAGAAGAAAATCTGTATTGATAAGAAACTATAGTTTTACTGTATTGACCATATACAGTACTGTATATTTATTTTAGTAACGGATGTCATCACGTGATGATCATAGACGATGATTAAGAACACAACATATCTTCTTTACTTTGAATTAAAAATGTAACATTGAAGTACTGTATATATAGTGATTTTATAAGAATGACTTCAAAATCATGTTTTTTCAAAGCAATGCCCTTTTTCTAAAAAATTACTGCCTATAAATATTTGGTGACTAAAAATAAAGTTGTTAGAGAAATGGTTATTATGTTGTTAAGTTATTGACAATAACTTAACAACATTGACACTACTTCCATCAGTGGCCAAGAGGATAAAACCACTGAACACTGGTAGTTGAGTGTGGGTTTGTGCCTCATCACCCAGCTGACCATGAGGAGTTTCCAGGTTCTCTTCACATTAGTAATAACTAAATAGGGACCAGTTTTTTTTTTAACAAACATACTGTTCAATAAACACAATCAAATTAGTGGGTTTTCATAAAGTATATTGATTTATTCACTTTTAGAATAATCTGTCTTCAGAATGAAATCTTTATTAATTCAAAAATTAAAATATAATGAATAAAAGAGGTGAATAAATTTATATGCTCATTTATGAAAAGTTTGTAATTTTTATTATATAATTTTTTGTTTACTTGACTGTTTAACACTGCTTTGTTATTATAAGCAATTTAATTGTGTTTTCTAAGCTTTTATGGAAAACCATTCTATATTTAAATGCTATTTTCTTTAAAAGATAGTATAAGAGTAGGGTGGGATGATTGTAAAGTTAGCCAATTGATGATGAATGACTGGTAGATACTTGTTGATGAAGATATTGAATGTATGTTCCAAAACAACTGTAGGGAAACAGTATTTATCTAGAACCAGCCTTATGTTGTTATCTCATGGATGATTAATTGGGATTGAGTAATCACTTAATTGTATGATTAATTGTTGAGTAATTAATGTACTCTTAGAACCTATAACTGGTGTGACATTTTAAAAAAAAAAACAAAAGAAAAAGTTCACTACAAATGTTTTTGAACTGCTGTGAGTTGTTCTTCAGGTGTAAAATAGAATTTCTCATGGATCAGAGCGAATGGTTAAAGAAATTCGAGAAACATTCAAAGGTGTTATATGAGATGCATGTGTATTCGTATGGTTGACATATTATGACACTTAAAGCTTGGAGTCCATCAATGCCTGCCAGGCCAGCGACAGAACCATCTCATCTTTAAAATTGATGCAGTTGGCGTCGATGGACTCCAAACTTTAAGTGTCATGATATGTCAACCATACGAATATGCATGCGTCTCATATAACATCTTTGAATGTTTCTCGAATTTCCTTAACTGTTCGCTCTGATCCATGAGAAATTCCTTTTTACACCTGAAGAACAACTCGCAGCAGTTCGAAAACGTTTGTGGTGAACTGTTTCTTTTGTTTTTTTTTGTCACACCGGTTATAGGTTCTAAGAGTACATTATGTAACACATCCCGGTGTTTTGTGGTGTAGTTTGTTGAGTAATTGTCAACTGTTTTAGTTTTAACCTTTTATAATAATCTTGCTTAGTGTCTTCCAATTAAAGATATAAATATTTATTTTACTATTTATTTCTAGTTAAAATTTGTAAGAAAATATTGCAAAATAAATTACAGATCTTGTCTTCAATCAAGTTGAGTTACTACTATTAATTTTAGTAGACAGAGATTAGATTTGTACACAAAGGCGTGAAATGCTTTGATTATTTTGTTGGTTTTTTTTTTCTTGTCGTCATTGGTCAGTAAGAAATGCTGCAATTTCTATTGGTTTATTCAGTATATTAGAAGACATGTGACATGAATGTGCCACAGGGATTAGTATATTTTTATATACACAAAATAAATGAAACAAATTAAGGCCATTTTTGCTTAGTTAGCATTATGTCCACATTGCATTTTAGTTGGTTTGCTTGCTTGATAACTTACATAAGATGGAGAAATTCATGATTGGCTATGTAATTGACTTAAAACTGATGCAATTGGCACTTAAATAACAACTACATTCATTGGCTACATGGAAGCTTTAAATCACTCTTTTTCTCTACTCCTTTAATTTCTTGAACAGGTCCTTTCCTATTCTCAGGTGACCAATACAGTGGCATAACTAGGCAGGTTTGATATTGTAGAGGCACAGAGCCCAGGACTAATGGGCCTCAGAAATCAGGTATCAAAAAAATTATCAGTGTCATATTTTACATTGTATTTGTTTTTTATTTTTTCTGAAAAAGGGGAAGCCAAAATAAAATCTTGTACAGAGCACATGGAAAGTTAACTATAACCATGACACTGGACCAATATAACTAACCTAAGTTATCCACAGTGGATAATTTGAATATCTGTAAACTTTTGTGGCTTGTATGTTTCCTTTTCTAATTTATACATGATTTTAGTAGTAGTAAATATTTATTGATAGTATTACATTTTAATTGAGTCATACAAATATAAATGACATATACTGAATTTACTTAAAAATGTTTCTGCTAGTGATTTCATCTTTGTGTGTTGCCGTGTCGAATTATGATACATGATTTTGAAAAATTAAATTTGAATAATTTTTATATATTGAATGTATGTGCTTATTACATTTTATGGCTTCTTCAATTTTATAAAAATTAATTTGCATATAACTTTTTAAATTTTATTTTATTTTTCAGGATGGATCTTCAGATTGATGCAAGTTCTTATTGTGACGAAGAATTGAATTTTATGAAGGTTTCTTCTTTTTTAATTTCTGGAGACATTAAGAAATTTTACTTTTTGTTAATTGATATATTACCTAAACTGACACCATGCCCACAGACTGCTGAAGAATTGTTTTTATTGTTGAAACTAAAACCTGCCAAAATGTATAGCTTATTGAAGGAATTATTATTTTATACAAAAAAGTATAAGCTATTGAGATATTTAAACACATGTTGTCATCAGATGAAAGTGAATTTGAAAAATGGCTCATGTTTCATTAATTCAGGAAGGTAAGTCAAATTATTTATATAGCATCAAACAATGAAATTCATTAGTTAGATTTTTCACTCATTCACCTTTTCACATTGATTGTTCACTTTCATATAATTTATTATTAAATAGTACAGTAAAGGCATTCTTTTATTCCTCCTCCGCGTAACTCCACACGAGTGTCAGCCATTTAAAAATTCCTGTGGAACGCATTCCTATATTCCAGCCGGAGTGCGTGCCATCGGATGGCAAAAATGGCAGCTGGTAGTAGTAGTTTACGGTGGAAAGCAATATGGCATCTTCCATGACTCACAATTTCGTTTTGAGGTCCATTATTTGGTTTAATGAATGAAAATTTAGAAGTTGTGAAAGTGCAAGTTAGTGCACACACGATGTAACGTCTTTTCGAATGATAGCTGGCATTCCAATTTTCTTCGTGGCTACTTTGTTGGCAAGATAATCCATTTTATGGTTAAATTTTACAGTTCAGTTCAGTTATTTTATTAAAGTACAAAATGCACATTTCCAGCACCACTAGGCATAGTTGGAGGATGAGTACAGAGAATATAATGTAAGTTGCGTACAAAACAAAAGTGAATATGAGTACAGTATAAAATTGTTAAAACAAAATACAAGTTTATGTACCTGCGTTTAGTATATAAAATGAGGATATCGCATACATACAGTAATAAGTAAAAATACATCAAAATGCCGAGATACAGTTAATTTTTATAATACACCATTAAGATGAAGACAAATAATGATTTAAAATATACATATTGAGAAAATTACAATATTTACATGTTGGAGGATACCAGTCAGTTAGCTGACTGTTGAGGCCTGGTCGGAACATTAGTCCTGTTGTTATATTGTTTGATTAAGGTGATAAGCTGATTATAAGTTTCCTTGTCATTCACAAGGTTCTTTAAAAATTCCTGATCATTTTGTGGCCAGTGGCCGCACCTTTGGTTGACTGAGAGTTTGAGCTGTGTTATGTCAAATTCCAGCATTGGGCAGTGAAGTAGATAGTGGAGACTTCCGTCTTGGGTATTGCAAGTTGTGCAGTGGCCTCTGCAGTCCGGATTAACAAATTGTCTGAGATAGGAATGGAAACGGCCGTGGTTAGTAAGGAATTGTGTCAATTGAAAGTTGGGGACAAACCAGTTATAGCTGTAGATGGCAGGGATATCCGGAAAAAACTGGTAAGTGATGTTTTGATTAGTGTTCCATTGGTTTTGCCAAATGATTAATAGATCGGTCCAGAGGAGCTGTTTAATGGTTTTCAGATTAAGTTTGCTGTATTCAATTGGATGACTGGTCGATTGCTGCAGATTTGGTGAGCATGTCAGCGCATTCATTGCCAATATTGCCCTGGTGAGCGTGAACCCAGTTAATGTTGATGGAGTTATCAGAATTCTTAATAGTTTCGTGGATGTTATTCACAATTGGGTGTAGGTTCCTGCTGTTGAGTAGAGAAATGGCAGAACTGCTATCGGAGTAGAGTGCAATGTTTGTTTTATGGAAGGTTGTGGAGCACCAGTCCATGGCCAATTTAATGGCGAGCAGCTCAGCTTGGAAGACAGAGCAGCTGCCATGTAAATGAATCCGTTGATTGCAAAAGCCTTACTGTCCTTTTAAATTCTAATGTTATTGTTAATTGTCTACTTGGCAGGGCCGGATCATCGCATAGACAAATGAGACAAATGTCTAGGGCCCGGTTTTTAGAAGGGCCCGGTTAAATTGTCTATTTTGAAAGATATTGATGAAATTTTTAAAATTCCTCATACAAACATAGCTGACGGTGACGATGAGGACATATCAATTAATACTGGGGCCGTATTCTGGTCACTGTCTCTGGTCTCTCGTCTCTCACAAGCTAGTCGCTGATTGGCTAATCATTTGGATTAACCAATCAGCGACCGGCTTGTGAGAGATGAGAGACCAGAGACGGTGACCAGAATACGACCCCAGAGACAGTGACCAGAATATGGCCCCTGCATTGCTAAAATAGTGGCACAGTGGAGATATTGATACAGAAGAATTGGACGAGGAATTGTTGCAATTTAAATTAATTTGCAAAAGCCTAAAATTAACGTTGCCATCTGATATGCTGCAATTTATAGAGCACAAAACTAGTATCAACACTTCCAAGTATATAAATATTATTGCGAATATATTTAACTTTGTTTATATCAAATGCATCTGGTGAAAGGTCATTCTCAGTATTAAAATGTGTAAAAAATAACGAAACTCACTGAGTGAATCAGAATTAAATTCTTTAGCTTTTTATACATCGAACAAAATACTTTGGATAATATTAATTATAATAAAATAATTGATAATTTTGCTGAATTAAAGACTAGAAAACAGAATTTTTANTTCGACTTACGTCATTCTCCTGGAACCAATTACCGACGTAAGGCGAGGTATACCTGTATTCAGAAGTCAAACAAGGAAACAATTTCACTTCTCTATTATTTATCTCCCCAGATGTCAACTAATCTATTTGTCTACTGCTAAAATATAGTCATTTAAATAATAATCTACTTCCATGATATTTTGCTAACCTATATGTCACTTGATCAATTTTTATATTAACAAATCCATGCAAAAGTTATAATAAATACCAGTTTCATTTTATATGTTGAAATAACACATACAAAAAAATTATAATTATTGTAAGAATGTAACTAATAAGACTTAATAAAATTTGGAAAGAATAAAAGTCCCAAGATGTACATATTTTTGTTGACACACTTCAAATCATAATTGTTCTTCATCTGATGTGAACAACAAGATTTATTGTTGTTTTTTGTAAAAATCATTTCATTAACATTAGTGCTGCTGGATGTCAAGACTCATTTTCCTCAACTAGGGAAATTTTCCTGGAGCAATTTCTCTGGCTTACATTATTTGTGAGAGAACTATTTTAGTTTTATATTAATATTTCCCACCTAAAGGAAATATCCTGCGAAGAATGAAAAGAGACATTCAAATTAAGAATGAATTTAGTAGTAATCTAAAATTCTAAATAGATCCATTTGAAATAAAGTTCATTTATGTACATTTTATTCACAATGATTTTTTATTTCTAGAAAATTTATCTCAAGGAGACGACAAAAACGACATAGTGAGTGATTCGCCTGATATTGTCTCTCCAAAACTATACCTGATGTTTCTCATGTCAGTCATTCCATTGTAAGTAAATATCAAAACTAAAATTATGTATTCCTAAAATACAGGGTGGTCATAAAATAACTTGATCAACTACCGTGTTTCCCTGAAAATAAGACATCCGCAGAAAATAAGACCTAGCACAGATTTTGCTGAATTGCGAAATATAAGACCTCCCCCTGAAAGTAAGACCTAGTGAAGTTTTTCTTCAGTAGTAACGATCATCGACAGATGGTTGAAAGTGGCCGTTGGCTTTTTGAAAGTACAGCCACTGATTGGTCAGCAGACAATTACGCCACACGGCATGATTTGCATAAGACTATGGCTTGGGAATCACAGATTTGCATAACGTTACGGCTGGTGATGGCTAATTGGTCGGCCGGGAATCACGCCACATGACATTTGCATAGTGCTACGGTTCAGTAAGCACTAATTGGTCATCGAGTCCGATGTTGACGCTATAAAAAGGCGACAGTTCGAAACCCCGGATATACGTCACTCTCGTCTAAGTTCGACTTGGGAATTTTTTTGTTCAATAAATGTGAATTCTTCTTCCTGGAAAAAAATAAGACATTCCCTGAAAATAAGACCCAGCGCATTTTTCAGAGCAAAAATTAATATAAGACACTGTCTTATTTTCGGGGAAACACGGTAACAGCAATCTCAGGAGTGCAGAAAGTGAGGAATCCATTTCTGCAGATTCCTTGCTCTCTGTGCTCCTGAGATCACTGTTAGTTGGTAAGTTACTTTATGACCACACTGGATGTCTATGTGCAGTACATGGTATATATATAATACTGGGGTGAAGCTAGCTGTAGACATGGTGATGGTATAATGAGTGGCCTGCATTGTTACAATTTTCAAATTAATTGCTTCAGATAGGTGAAATGTCTCAACATTATGTCTATCTGAACCAATTTGAACAGAAATTGAGAGTGGGTGGTCCATCCAGATATGTCAGGCCCTGTCCCTCACCACCCAGCCGCCCCATTGTGGGCTTGGCCAAGCCCATAATTAGCTTGCCAAAAGAGGTCTTCTTAGTGCCCACAGGGCAGAAAAAGTTTAAAAAAGGGGGGAATTGAGAGTTTGAGTCCTACTTTGGATCAGTCTTTTATTATAGAATGGTTTGAAAATAGATACAGGTGTCCATCTTGGTACTAATATTTAATAATTATATTTAACAACATAATTTGTTCTTAATTAATAATTAGCCAAGACATTGTTCAAAATAATCTGATATTTTAGTTAGAATTGTCTTTTATAGTAATCATAACACTCATAATGTTAATATATTATATTAACATATTTTCCTGCACAAGAAATAGAATTTTTAAAAGTTTTATTTATAAATTAGAACCTCGATTATCCGCCCCCCGATCAACCGACCCCTCGGTTAACCGACCGTCCTAGTCGGCAAATTTCAAATGTCCGCTAGTGATGTGGCGCTACAATATTTNTGAACTAACTCTCATTGCTGTGTCAATCTTTAAACACCAGTATTAAGTCTTATTAATAAGTAAAGTCCAAGTAGACAATTAACAATAACATTAGAATCCATTGATTGTAGATTTCTGTCCCATTCTGGAATGTGACGAAGCTGCAGCCCACCTGGTTGTTGATTTTGGATCCATCTTGTATATTTCTATGGAAGGCCAGGAGTGGTGATTGTCAGTGAAGTGAGGCAATTCAGTTGGGTATGAAGAATTGCTGAGGCATATGGGGCGTTCAAGCACGTCCGCCTGGATGATACTGGTACTGGTTATGATGTTGTTACCCCATTTGATTCTCCAAACATCCCTGTGTAGTCTAATAATGTGATCAATTGGTGGTTTTCTGCAGATGACTT